ATATTTTCTTTGAATGACCAACGCTCTACCCTCTCCAAACAGATTCCAGTGTAACCAGTTGCTTTTGCTTCCTCTCCTGCATTCAGTCCTGGGCTCCTGGCTGTGGTTACAGTCCACGGTCCATCCAGGCAGGAGGTAGGGGGCAGCGTGTGGCTGTTGGCTTGTCTGCCATCCCATCCATCAGGTCTCTGGCTACACCTTGATGGTGCTGCTGGCAGGTTTACCCTCGTAGCTGTAGAGAAATGTGGCGGCCATCACCAGCACCGCTCCCATGAAAAACACCCTGAGGGAGGAGCAGAACAGGTTGGTATGAATCCAGCGAGCAAACAGTGGCGACACTCGGCTCCCTCTGCTTTACCCTGTAGGCTTGAAGTCGTTCAGGAGGAAATAGGAGATGAGGGTGGACACCATGATGGATGCTGAGGTGGCAAATCCTTTCAGGATGTTGTCTGCGTATTTAATCACCACGGCGATGACCAGCCCGCCCACAGCCTGAACACACAACCATCAGATATATATATATATATATATATATGTATATGTATATATATGTATGAGAGTTAAGAATTCAGTTTTTTCTTTACTTTTCCTGAACCCTGCTTTTTCAGCTTCCTCCATATGGAAAAGAAAACTTAGATGCATTTAAGGAAACAGACCTGCAGGACAACCACTGTGCAGGTGATGGCGCTGTAGCCCTGGAACATCCCAGACTGTCTCACGCTGCGGCCGTCATACACCATCATCCCCAAAAAGCCAAGCACAAAGCTGAACAAACCTGGAGAGAGACAAGGGACAGCAGAGGACGTGTGTTTGTAGGGGCCAATCACAGAGAAGGTGGCCAATTTATGGAGTGATTTTTCTGCCAAAATTTTGTGTACAAAAATGCATGTTATGCACACACATAACGCATGTTTCACACAAACAAATCTTATCAGTCACAAATAAACATGTTGCACTCAAATAAATCTTATTGTTCACAAATAAAACTTGTGTTAGAAACTCTCATCTAATGTCACGCACAAATCAAACTTTTCTTTCAAACTGTCCTTAAATGTTGCACACACGAAAAATAGTTTTACAAACCGGACTGTAACATTGAAAATATAATTTGTAAATTTAGTCCAAAAAGATCTCTGCTCGCGTACGAGACAATTCTACAGAGACCACTCCGCTCAGCCGCCGCAGGTCAGTGCAGGGAGGAATGATCTGATCTTTATATTGGAGAAACCAAACAACCTCTCCACAGACGCATGGCCCAACACAGGAGAGCGCCCTCCTCTGGACAGGAGTCTGCGCTACACCTGATGGACAAAGGACATTCTTTGGAGGACCAGAATGTTCACATTTTGGACAAAGAAGACAGGTGGTTAGAGAGGAAGGAAGCCATCTATGTTAAGAAAGAAAAAACTCAGATTTCAGCTTTCAAAAACCTCCAATGCAGCGATAGAGTTGATTCCTTCCCGCTATTATCGCAGCCCCAACCCCTTTACAGGAGAACAGAAGACCTCACCTGTTCAGCCAGGCCATCTATTCCCTCTAACGCCCCCCTTTCAGAGACATAGACGGGTATGGGGCATTGCAGGCTAACAAAGAAGCCAAACGACCCCCATTCCAAAGGGGGGGACCCGTTCATCCGTTTCTATTTGCATGTTTTCTAAACTAAAACCAGGCTTTGTTGGGCTGCTGGATAAAACCTGGAACTAAACGCTATTTCTGACATTTTCAATTCAAAAATCTTCCTTGAAGTAAGAGAAACGTCTTT